CAGGAATGCTGAGTCGAGTAGTTAGTGTGCATTTTCCTCCTCCACCCCTACTTTAAGCCTTAAAATTAAGATCACGAGTGCATCAACTCAGGGCTACAACCTTCACAGCTAATATGCAATTTATGAATATGCTGGCTGAGCTCACCAACATTAACTCGGGGAAGAAAAAATGGGTAGGCAGTGTCTGCAGCCAACTCTGTGCAATCAGTTGAGATCAGATGAACAAGGTACAAATCTGAGACCTCTTTGCTGAGGTGCCTGTGATAGTATGTGCTGGGTATGCATATTGAACTAGCTCAATGAATAGCCTGAAAAGCACCAGAGACACTAAAAGGAATGGGATCACATGGCCAGAAATGCTGGAGGACAGGAAGCAAGGTGGAGGTTAGGCCTGCCTCTGTTTCCTTCTACCAGTAATGCAAGGGCATTCGAGGCAGAGGGGAGGCCACTGAGTGAGGAATAGAGGACAGAGGAAGAAGGAGTTAATGGAGATGAATTTACTGGAGGAGGGACAATGGATTAGGGTGCAAAAGTATTAGAAAAACAGCAGAACTAATGAAGTCTACTCAGTGCAACATTTATTCCTTTAAAATGTTATTTTTCAGCTGATTTTTTCAAATTTCTGACTTTATCTCTTTCAGTAATTTCTGTGTCCTTACCTGATTGAGGTCATTTATTTCCTCCCACTGTTGAAGCAGAATTTCTACAACTTTGCCGTGACCATTTTTGGCTGCTAGATGCAATGCTGTGTTTCCCTCCTGGAAATTAAAATGTCAAATAAGATATTTTAAAACCCAGAATAAAGTCAAAACATTAAGTAAAACCAACATACATTTAAACACAAAGCCTTTGGTCTTTCCATCTCTCTTTTACACAAAAGGGGAAGGAGGCAGATCCACACAGCATGTTCCATGATTCAGACCAATCTGAAAGGAACCTTTTCACATGCATGCAGATGTGACCTTTGTCTAGTTGGTTGTCTCATATTCTGAAAAATGCAGTGTTACCAAAAAGACCTAAAATTCTAACTCCTAAAGAATTAATCAGAAGATCAAATCCACTTGGGCACTGGTTCCTACAAGGATGCAGACATCAGTCCCCCAAAAGCACTGATTTAAAGACAAATGGCCAAAACCTAGGTAAGTGTATATAATCCTGTGCCAACATCACAATCTTCAATCCTCTTCACCATCAGTATAACTCCTGACTAGCTAATTAAGAAAAAAATAAAAAAGAACACACAAAACCAAAGAACAAGCTAGATGATTATCAGGAAGAGCAGCAGCTTTTGAGCTAGAAGACAATGCTGGCATAAGAACAAGTATAAATCTGGCTAGAAACAAACTGCAGCTAGAAATTTGGAGAAGGATTCTACCCCTTAGAGAAATGAGGGTCCAGAACAGCTTTTCAATCAGAGCACTCAGGAGGTGGAGGGGCAGAAAAATCAACTACATTTTAGGAAAAGGTATGTTTGTTAACTGATGGTTACAGTGCTTTTCCTTTCAGTGACCCATGAGATGAGTTGCTGTCCTGGCTTCTCACCTACTTACTCTTTAGGATCACAACATTTGCCTCCCATCATTGCTGCTTTACATGTCAGCCTGCTAGATATCTGGGACAACACTGTTGTTTAACTGCTGCTGATAAACTACTTAGCACATCAGAGCTCCAGGTTGTACTGCAGCTTTTAAAGTATCACCAAAACTAAAACCAAAACAAACAAAAACTTCCTAGGTGCTTGCTTAGATGGTTCTATAAATGCAGTATCTGACCATTTTCCAATTTTTAATGTATTTATCCGTGCAGTGTCTTGGATGCAGAGAAACATTGACAGGCTCATTCCACAAATAGTGAAGTAAGGAGTAAGGAAATCTAAGGGAAGACTTTGGAAGTTAGTTAGACACCTTAAAATGCAGTGTCAAAAGCAAACTCAATCAGATTGAAGTGTTTAGGCACTTCTGAAAAATACCTATGGGTGTTTATTTGCATCCTGAAGTATTTAAGCAACTTTGAAAAATTAGTCATGTGGGACTTAGCAGTGATGCACAGACAGCCAAGCAGAGCAAAAAACTGGGAAACATGATCTCCCAGTACAGAGGCTAGCACCTTATCGTCAGACTTTGCCACTTCTCGGAACAGACAGCATATGCCAGTCTTGCTTTACGTTAATTATTAATGCTTATGGAAAATTGTCCTGGCAATAAGACCAGAAGTTCCACTGTCATCCCTTAATTACTGAAGAATCATCATCCTTGCATATTTGTTGGTCCAATATATATCACTGCCAGCATCATGACATCTGCACAGCTTATTCGTACCACTTGGTTATGTAGTAACTACGCTGAAATGAAGTAATCTTTCACAAGCACATTTTTAGTTGTACTTTTGTGGAAAAGAAACCTCTACCTTATCTTTTTCAGAGGTAAACAGCTTCAGAGTAATCAAAGTGTTTATCATGTCAACATGGCCTTTTTCAGATGCCAGAAGAAATGGCTTTTTACCTTTCTAGGAAAAAAAATATGGAAAGAAACACAGTGTTATCGAAAGTAAAAATACTTTGCTTCCAGTTACTAGATATATGGCATGCATATGTGTATGTATGTTCTGCATAAAAATTTATATATCACGTGACTAAGTAAATTAACAAAAAAGTAGATTAATACAAGAAGAGTAAGAATTTAAAAAAAAGATGCAATATTTACTTAGTATAAAAAATCAGATTCTACATCTTGCATAATCTGAAGAAAATATTTTAAAACTGTTTGGAAATGGTAACAAAGTAGAAAATGTGCTCTAAATATTTAATTCTTAATTATTCTCACTATGAAACTATTTATCAAAAGAATTGTTTCATTAAAAGTCTGAGGATGCTCAGAAACAGGCAGTAAAGAAGTTGCAAGATTTATTTCCATGGCATAGCACATTCAATCTGAATTCTACAAACACAGACCAGAACAACCATATCTCAGAAGTTTCATCCAGGACTTGAATTTAGTGCTGTATATTGTGGGCAGCTTTTTTGGAGGTGGTTAAACTAACAAAAACTTTTCCAACTGTTTACAACTCAACTGCAGAAAGTTATCTTGACATAAAACCGTACCACTGGTCAGACAGGGAGGCTGTCTAACCAACTAGTGGTCTATATTAAATGTCTAAGAAAAAAAATGCAAGCAACTAATAGATAATTATGAAATAATCTCAACATAAAGAACATTCTTCTTCACCTTTCCCTTCCCAAGGCTTAAAACACAAAGGTTTGTTTTGTTAAATTAAGCCTGTTTTGTCAGCCTTGTCACATGTAGAAAGGATTCTGAATTTTGCACTATTGGGTCAATACAATTCGAGACTCAGAAAAAAGGATAGGGGAGCTTTGTTCTTTTGGTGACAGATCCTACAAGACTAGATTTTTCTCATGAAAAGATAAAACATCCTACTTAGCTAAATAAGCCTTCAAAGCAAGATCCTAACATTGTGGGAAGGAAAAATAAGAACACAGCAAACCTGATGAGGACAACACCCTGGCACTGTTGAAGAGTTGGTGCACTGTTGAAGAGGATAGCTGCACATAGTTTTATGTTCTACATTTGCGAAATATGCCTGTGTTGGCCATAACTGGCAAGTTTTGGTAAGGGCAGGGGGCTGCAGAAGTGAGCAGTGTGGGAGGAGGTCAGAGACTGACTGCCCTGTGCTGGTCACAGCTATTTTCAGCTGGCTCCACCATGGACAAAACTGACCCACCATGTGTCAGCACTCAACCCTTCAGAGAAGCATGTGATACCTCTATGGAAACATATTTAAGAAAAAGTGGTCACTGCTTCGGGGAGGATGCACAAGGGGAGGTAACAGGAGGACACATGAGAGGAGGCAAGGCAGGAGACACAGGAGGAGGTACACCCTACGGGTGACTGCAGCCTGTGAAGAACCCTTGCTGGAGCAGACGGAAAGAGTAAGAAACAAAGAGCAGGAAAAAAAAAAAGGAAACCACTGACTGACTGACCCCAGCCTCCTCTGCCTGCCATCACCTCATCCATGGGACTGAGCATCATGTGCAGCAAAAGCAGGGGGAGCAGGGGAGGAGAGGTGTCTGGAGTTCAGTTGAGTCAGGCAAAGAGAAAGGAAAGGTGTTTTCCCTAAGTGCTTGTCTGGCTCTTTGTCTTACTTGTTTCTCAATACCCAAATCAGTAATTAGAAGTTTATATAACTGGCAATAAATTAAACTTAACTGAAATTCCCCAAGTCAAGATTGTTTTGCCCACAACAGATGCCTCATGACATAAAAGAAATAAACAGAAAGAAACATACTGTACCCCATCAGGCTTGTTCAAGTCATTCAGGTGAAGATCTTGGAGAAAATAATCAACTATTTTAACGCTGTTGTTCTGAGCTGCAAAGTGCAGTACATTCATTCCTTCCTGAAAAAAACATAAGCAACTTTGTAAGAACAAGGGTTTTTTTCCAACATAAACAGGTTTAGAGTTGGTAAAAATTTGTCATCAACAAACCTCATTCTTAGCCTTTTGATCAGCGCCAGCTTTGACTAATTTTCGCATTATATCCAGATTTCCAGTCCAAGCTGCAAGATGAATCACTGTCAGGCCATGCTTCAAATAAAACAATAAAGGCAGAAATTACCATCAAAATACCTCAAGTCAAATTCTTTAAATCTTTTTGATTAATTCAGTGTATGAGTGGGTTCAGCTCTGCAGGCTCTTAGAAAATCAGTATTAACACCTGGCAGTGTGAGTGGGATTCATCTCACTTAATTTAAGCTAGATGTCATGCATCAAGACCTAGCTAAATGTTCAGGCTACCCCTCTTCTTGACAGAATGTCTAGCATCGCCAGAGAAGGACTGATCCCATTTTAAGATGGGGGGGGGGGAATTAAATACTACCTGGAAATATTTCAATCTCCCCAGAAACGATGTAGATAGATAGCACTGGGTGCAGAGGATGACATTTCAGGTGATGATATGTAATGACTATATTTCCATGAGTCACCATGATTCTCCAGTTAGCCCTCTTTTTAAGGTTCTCTTTTCTTCTCTCAAATTCTCTAAAAAGTTATTCTCTTACAGGAAAAAAACTTCTGTTGTTAGCTTCTTAGAGCCAAAAGGAATAGAGATATGGAACTTCCAGTCCGTGTTTCCCCTCTTGGCCACAGATCTCTCTACCTATTCCACATCTCTCTCTCAATTTCTGTGTACTGTGTCCAGGTGGAACATGACAAATTATGGCTCATTATGCTAAGTCCTGTGTAAACACAAGACATTCATACTCCACCATAAAAGCACCCAAAGAGATGGAGTCAGAGCAACCTAAAGGAAGCAAGAGGGATCAAGAGACTTCCTTAACAGTTATAAACCTTCCCCAGTTTCTCCTCTGTAAATGAGGAAAAAATAGCTTGATTTCCATCTCTAATAGAGAACAGGAGCAGGTTTTGTGCATGTTGGTTGGTGCACTTTGGACAGCAGGATGCTTGCTGTTACAGAGACTTCAGGACAGTACTCACAAACTACTCACTGAATAACAAAACAGTTCAGGCTGACAGAGACCTCTGGAGGTCACACTTCTACGGCCTCCTGCTCAAAGGCAGTCCCATTCGATCAGGTTGCTCAGGACTCTCTCCTGTCAAGTTTTGAATGCGCTAAAGATTGAGACTCCACAGACTCTCTGGAAAATCTGTTCTAGTGTTTGACCACTCTGACAGTGATTTTTTGTTTTCTCCTTGTACCTAATAGGGACCTCCTGTATTGCAATTTTTGTCCATTGTTCCTTGTCCTATCACTGCCCCTCTGAGAAGAGCCTGTCTCTGTCTTCTCTATGTTGTCCCCTTACGTATCTGTAGACAGCCATAAGGTCTCACCCTTACCATTCTCCTTCCAAGGCTGAGCAGACCCAGCTCTCAGCATATCTTCATACACCATGTGCCCCAGTCCTAATCATCCTAGGGGCTCTGCACTGGACTCGCTCCAGCTTATCAATGTCTTTCCTGGACTGGGGAGCCCCAAACTGGGCACAGCAAGCAGAAATTGCAGTGGAAAACAGTGGAGGGCAATATGGAACTTGCATCTGGTGCACAGGCTAAAAGAATATAGCTGGGCTTGGGCAAAATTTACAACTGTGGCTCAAATGCTGCCCTGAAAAACATTCCTAACTGTGACCAAGGAGAAAAAGTTACTAAACCTGATAGCCTTATGCAATGAGAAGACTAGCCTGGTGGATGAGTGGAGAGAAGTGAATGTTTATCTCAATTTTCATAGCAGTTTTGACACTGTCCGTCATGACATCCTTGCAGACAAACTGATGAAGTGCAGGCATAGATAGATATACCAAGGTGTGCTAAAAGCCAGCTACACTGCCAGGTCCAATGTCTTCTGATCAGCAGCACAAAGTCCAGCTGGAGACCAGTCACTAGCAATGCATGCTAGGCATTGGTCATTAATTACCTGAATGATGGGGCAGAGTGTACCCACATCAAATTTATAGCCAACATTAAATTGGGAGGAGTGGCTGATGGACCAGATTGGTGTGCTGCCATCCAGAAGGACCTTGATAGGCTGGAGAAATGGGCTGACAGGAACCTCATGAAATTCAAAAAGGGGAAATGCAAAGTCCTGTACCTGGGGAGGAGCATCCCCAGGCACCAGTACTGACTGGGGGCCAACTGCCTGGAAAGCAGCTCAGCAAGGAAGGACTTGGGGCTCCTGGTGGACACTAAGTTGAACATGAGCCAGCAATGTGCCATTGAAGCACACAAGGCAAATGGCATCCTGGGCTGCATTAGGAAAAGTACTGCCACCTAGTCAAGGGGGGTGATCCTTCCCCTCTACTCACTGGTGAGACACACCTGGAGTACTGTGTCCAGTGCTGGCCTTCCCAGTATAGGAGAGACGTGGACATACAGCACAGAGTCCAGCAAAGAAAGAGCCACAAAGATGATTAAGGGACATCTGACATATGAGGAGAGGTTGAGAGACCTGAGACTGTTTAGCCAAAGAAGGCTGAGATGGATCTTAGCGTTGTGTATAAATATGTGATGAAAGAGAGTAAAAAAGATGCAGCCAGACTCTTGTCTGTAAAAAAGATGCAGCCACACTCAGTAGTGTCTAAGAGGTAATGGGCACAAATTGAAGTCCAGGAAGATTGTCTTAAACATAAGAAAAACCTTTTTTACTCTAAGGATGGTCTAACACTGAAATCAATTGCCCAGAGAGGTTATGGAGTCTGCATCCTTGGAGATAATCAAAGCCCAACTGCACATAGCTCTGCGCAACCCGCTCTTCATGACTGTGCTCTGAGGAGGAGGCTGGACAAGGTCATCTCCAGAGGTTCCCATCTTAGCCACTCTGTGTGATTCTGTGCATGGGCTGTTTGATAGGGAGGAGTCTGGGAAGAGAAAAGGAGGCACAAGGGTAGCAAAAAAGGTGGGTTCAGGAAAAGAAAAAATAATGTTAAAAATACAAATAAGGTATAAAACCAGTTGGAGAACAAAAAAGGGAAGGATCCCATGATGTCCACA